ATATATACATACACATATATACAACAAGCAAATAGAAAACATACAGTGATACTTCAGCCTGTTTATATAATTGTTCATGATGCTATAATCATATCTATGGCTTCTTCTTCCACACCTATTCTTTCTCCTGCTTTCAGTCAAAGCCTCAGCTGGCCTGGGTCTTGTACCTAATTCAGTGGCTAAACTTTTCATTCCAGAAAGATCTAGTTCTCAATCATCCTGCTTTTTTTTTGGTTGCTGTGGTTTTCCATTAAGATTTACCATTGGACATGGCAGCAGTAAGAGGCTCCAAATATCATATTCCATGCTTCCATTGTGTAGAAGCCACCCAATTTTCTATTAGTAATTGGAATCAATAACCCCAGCCAATAAGTTATTTTTTTTCTAAGTGGGTTCAGTTGCATAAAAAGTCTAAAATTCCCAGGAGATAGTTGCATCTTTCATTGAATGGAACCATTTTTGTGTCCTCTGGTGTAAACATTCTTCTTTTAGGAACCAATATCTCAAAATCAGCAGAGCTCAAAGTTGCTAGGATGGGGAGCAAAAAGTCTGTTAGTGGTTTATTGGGTTTAATAATGGGGAGCTACTCCCATTTCCACCTTTTGATTCCTGAATCTATGTACAGGTACACTTCAGAGATATTGTGAGTTCAGTTCCAGACCATGGCAATAAAGCATATATTGCAGTAACGTGAGTCACACAATTTTTTTTTTTTTTTGCTTCCCAGTGCATATAACAGTTATGTTTACATTATATTATAGTCTATTAAATGTGCAATAGCATTATGAAAAAGTTTGAAATATCATGAGAATCACCAAAATGCGATTCAGAGAAGTGAGCACATACTGTTGGGAAAATGGCACCAATAGTCTTGCTCAAAGCAGGGTTGACACAGATCTTCAATTTGTCAAATGCAGTATCTGTGATGCAGAATAAAATGAAACACAGTAAAATGAGGTATGCTTGTATTCTGTCTGTGTTGGAGACAGCAATATATGATGGTCTCTAATTCAAAGCACATGCTGAATCAACTAGAACTCCATCATTTCAGGATATTACCTTCCCTGTAGGTCACTGCAGGTGTCTTCAGTAAGCCATTCTACCAAACAATTAGGCCAGCTGCTTCTGGGTCATGGAGTATGTAGTAAAACCAGTTAATTCATGAAAAGTCAGAATTATTAATTTTATTTATAAAAGTGACTCAGGATTTTAATTTTCTTAATGTAATTTTTTATTAGAGAAATTCTCATAGTAATCATATAAATAAATAACATGAAATACTGACTATAGGAAGAAAGAGAGAAAGGAAAGAAGGAAGGATAAGGACTGGAGGGGAGGGGAAAGGAGGGAAAGGAAGGGGAGGGGAGGGGAGGGGAGGGAAGGTGAGAGGAGCGAAGGGAAGAAGGCAGGCAGGCAGGCTACTTTGATCTCTCAGATACAGCTGGGGTTGGAGAGATGAGGCATGCTCTCCCAGCTGCTTGGGCCCCTTGGTGCAAATTTATTTTACTTCAATTCTCACTTTGAGCTCAGAATCCAAAGAAATCGGCAGTTCTCTTTTTCATACCAATGTGCATCAAGTGCCCACCACAGTCCCTTTGGCTGAGCTGATAACAGAGTCTCCGGGAGCTCGTAAACCTATCAGAGATAAAAGAACGTCTGGTCCAAAAATGGAAAGGAAGGGAAGAAAGCAAGAAGAAAGGGGACATTAATTGAGCATATGTTTCTTATTTATAATTTTGTGTCTCTAATGCCCCATTTCAGGGAGCTCTGGTCGCGTAGTGCCTAAGGCATTCGACTGTTAACCGGAAGGCTGGCAGGTCAACCCACCAGCGACTCCTCAGAAACAAGGGTGGGCAATCTACTTCTGTAGTGATACCACCTCGGAAACCCAAGGACGGGTAGCTATGAGTTGGACCCGACTCCATGGTAGTGCATTTGGTTTTTGGTTTTTGGTGGTGCAGTGGTTAAAGCACTTAGCTCCTAACCAAATCCATCAGCTGTTCTGTAATAGAAATATGTGGCTGTCTGTTCCATAAGGACTTACAACCTTGGAAACCCTATGGGGCCATTCTACTCTGTCCTTACAGGGTTGTGACGTGTTGGAATTGACTCAAGGGCAATGGGTTTGTTTTGCGCTTGTTTATTTATTGGAATGCCCCATTTAGTTCTCTTACACTTCTCTAGCAATCACTCAATTACATTTACCACATGTAATCATATCACCATAACCTAAAAAATACTGTTGATCTCCTGGTTCACCATTTGGCTAAAGTGTACCATTGGCCACAATTTACTCATTGGCTCTCTGTTTTGAGGGTTTCTCTGCACCTACCCTCTCATACATTTTCTTGTTGCTGTTATTAAATGCTACTGAGTCAGTTCCAACTCACCGAGACCCTATGTACAACAGAACGAAATACTGCCCGATCTGCACAGCCATCATAACCATTGCTCTGCTTGAGCCGTCATCACAGCCACTGTGTCAATCCATCTCATTGAGGGTCTTCCCCAGCAGGACATCCTTCATCAGAGTGTGAGCCCTTCTGACACCATGACCAAAGTATGTGAGACAAAGCCTGGCCATTCTCAATTCTAACAAGCATTCAAGCTGTAGTTCTTCCAAGATAGATTGTTCAGTACACACTACAGAGTCAGCCAATTAGCACCTAGCAAACTCTCTCCTACTTCTCCAGAATATTTGTTATCCTTCAGGACTTCAAGTACAAAAGGACTATAAAGACTCCTTATATAATTGAACCCACAACTGTGGTTTCCAGCCAAACAAAGTACAGGCATGTGAGTTAAACATTTACCTCAAGTAGACACACACCCTGGAGAGAACAATCATGGGAGAAGGAAGGGCTGCTTATGCACAGGGAGATAGCTCAGGGTGCAGAAGAGTATGAAGGGATGGACACTGGACTATGGGGAGGAAGTGGGAAGGGAGCTGCTGCATTATAAATTTTGGTCAATGACATGAGACAAAGTATATGTGAACTGCTGTATGAAAAGTGAATTTACTCTGTAAATCTTCACCCAAATCCTAAAAAAAAAAAAAAAAAAAAAGACTCCTTATATAGTTATTTTCATGCTAGCCAGAAGAAAGCCATGAATTTATACTGGGTCTAGTGACTTCCTATTATCTACTTTGATTCTTACAAATACTTAAAGCAGAGCTTAGCATTCCTAAACTTACTACATGAATTATTATTACAGTAATGAAATATAAAAATCAATCTCTGATATTTCAACAATGAAATTGTATAAGAACAGGGTAAAGGCAATAAGAAAAAAAAAATATCAGTAGAGATGAATGTCACAAAGAAGGTAAAGGGATTATTTCCATAGATTTCTGATGTAGATTTTCAGAATTTAAGATACCAAAAGAATACAAGGCTATTTTATAGCTAAGAAAAAGTTTTAGAGAAAGACTGGAGAATTCTAAATCTTCATTGTCCTTCTGCACGGTTCTTAAACAGTTGCCAGAATTAAATGGCCAAGAGAGTTGTCTAAGCCCTTCACAATTCTAATCAATCACCTACAGTTGACTAATATTTTTTTGTCATAATCTCACCCAGTTAGAGGTACTTAGAACTGAGACAAAGTATTCCAATATACTGAATAGCAGAGAGCCTGAGAAAAAAATTGCAGGAAAATTATCCATAAGTGACTAATGAGGAGGAGGTAAAATTGCAAGGGGAAGAGGAGGCAGCATTGCAGGGAAAGAACATGAGGCTCTCATCATTTATTTTCTGGGCACGTTGAGAGGAAACAAAGAATGAAAACCCAGTTTCTCCTAGGCCATGTCATAATTCACACAGTCAATCCCTTAAAGCAGTCAACCTTAAGACAAGTCCTTGAGCATCTGATTATTATGTTGCAAGAACTCTGTTGACTCCATCATTCCAGAAAACTATTTGGTATTCTGTAGTTTCTATTAAAAAAAAAAAAAAAAAACTTCTGAAAACAAAGTTTATCACACATGGGGCGCAGCAGAAATTGCAAATTCGAATAGAAGTATCTTGTCAGCAGTCTTTGCCTCATTTCCCACCATATAACAAGAATTCTTTAGATTTTGAATCTCTGAGCACCACTATCCCAGGTGGTTTGTGTTCTGCTCCCCCTACAGTCCCAAGCACTGTGTCCTCAGAACACAGAAGTACTCAGCCGAGTCACGCCAATAGACAAAGAATTTCCTCAGGTGAAAGGAGCTTTCACTCTTCCTAAATTCAGCCTCAAAACCGTTGATGCCTTTGACCAGTGTGTTGTCCCCTGAAATGTACTTCAGGAGAAACTGGAGGCCCTGGTTGGGGTACTGAACGTACCAGAAGAGATAAGGAGTTGTGCTATAGGAGTAATTGCATCTCAACTCCAGTGAGGCTCCTTCAGAGACAGAGACTTGGACATCAGGCTGGGTCACCAACTGAGCTCTGGCATCATCTGCAAAATCAAAGTTTTGTCAGTGAATGTAGTGCAGATTTCACTATGAAAAGTATTTCCAATCAGAGTCTGTGGAACTAGGGAGTATAATAAAACTTTACTCACTCAGGGAAACAATCATCTCAAGGACAGGAATGAGCAACAGGATCATGGCTGAGCAGTGAAGACACACAGGCTGTTTTCTGGAAGATCTCTCCAGAGTAGGCAGGAAAATGTCTGAGGATTCAAAGCTCCTGGAAATATGAGCTGTGGGGAAGGTTAAGCAGGACAAGTCCTTTACTTAGGTAAAAACATCAAAAGTTCTGAGGTGAGCTTGAATGCTTTCTGACCTCTCATTCTTGTCACTTGTCTCTTTTGGCAAAGAATTCAGTATGAGGTCTTCAGCCAGCTGCAGGGAGGTGGGGCTGAGCCAATGATGCTGATCTTCAACAGAAATAAGATCTCTAGTTTGTGCAGCATTGCCATCTGGAGGCCAGGCACGGAACCAAGGATCCAGAGTCCCCACAGAGAGCTAATTAGTGTTCCTTCTCTTTTCTGTGATATTATGTTACACACCAATGATAACGTGTTTGTTTATGTATATAAAATTTTATTTATATAATATGATAACATGTTTATTTCTTCCTAAAACTATGATGATGTTTTCCTCTCTTGGCTTTGCCCATATGCCAAGCAGCAGAGGCAGGCAGCATGAACATAAGAGGCTACAACTCTATGGGAAACAGGATCTCTATTGCCCTGAGTATGGGGCTGGAGGAAGAGCACCCTGAGGGGGAGAGAGAGACTAATCACTAATCCTAAATTTCCACATGCATGAGGCACACCCAAACCAGAAGCCCTATGAACTGAACTGAGACTGATAAGGCTCAGACAAACCCCTGGATTGCAGGCATGCAAAACAGACCTAAATTAATGTAGTAGCACCTTCAGGAATTGACCTGAGTGCCTAAGGCACTTGACTGCTAACCAGAAGGCTAGCAGTTCAAACCCATCAGCCACTCCTTGGAAAGAGGATGGGGCACTCTACTTCTGCAGTGATACTGCCTTGGAAACCCAAGGAGGGGTCGCTATGAGTCGGGTCCAACTTGACGGCACATAACAACGACAATAACAATAACAAACAAGTTTCAGACTAATCTCTGAGCTAAATGTGACTAGAGAACAGATCTAAAATATCATAGCAAAGAATTAGAGAACTGAACTGAGATTTGAGCTAGAGTTGTCCAAAACTTAGTGTGAAATAAATTGGTTTTCTTTCTTAATCAAACAAAAGCATCAACATTCTCCACAGGATGATTGAAAGAAGGAAAAAAATCTACATAATTTATGTTAAAATGCATTCCAAAATTATCTGACATACAAAGAACCAGAAAAATTGACCAATATTTAAGCAAAAGATAACCAATAAATGTGAACCTGAAGAATGCTGGGGGAAAAAAATGTTGAATCAGCTTTTTTAAACATGAATTTAAAAAAAGAAAGAAATTATAGAGTAGGAATTCTCAGCAAAGAAGTAGAAACTATAAAAGAATCAAATGGGAACTATGTTGTTGTTGTTGTTGTTGTTGTTAGGTGTCGTCAAGTCATCTCCGACTTATAGCAATCCTATGTACAACAGAACGAAACACTGCCTAGTCCTGTGCCAGCCTCACA